AAAAAAAAGAAAAAAAAAAAATGGTAAGCCTACTTAAAAGGATGTTCTGGATAATTACTCGGCCTTCAGTGTACATTAGTATCAACCATGGTTATTTTTTTCAAAATACACGAATGCAAGTCTCAACTACTAGAGATTCAAATTTAGCAGGTCTAGAGTGGGGCCTAGGCAACTGTCTTGTGTATAACCTCTGGCAATTCTGGTAACAGGTCTGACTGAGCAAGCCAGGAACAAGACCATAGGTTCCTGTAAGAGGTAGATCTGGGTTCCAAAGTTGGTTCATTAGCTAACTAGTTTTGTTATCTGGCTAAATTATTTATCTTCTCTGGGCTTGTGAAATGAGGATAATGATCTTATTTATGTGATAACACTTGAGTGTTGTTTTGAAATAAGTACAAAATTACTTGAAAAACTTATTTCATAATGGTAATTAGAATTCCGTTCCTGTTTTCCACCGATCACACCAAGTATACAGATAAATTTCAATTCTTTTACTTGTCATAATGGGGTAGGTACAAAGAAAAACTAAGCTTAAAGTGGGGATAACCTGCTCAAGGTTATGAAGTGCAAGAATAGACTCAAACTCCAACCCAAATAAGGTTGAAACTCTTATAAGTGAAAGAAATATAAAAAAGACTTGAATTGCAACATAATGCAAACCATGGTACACAATTTTACTATATAATTGTTTTGTTTTGTTTTATAGACTTCTACTCTTGGAAAAGATTGGGTAAATACTCTATTTTTTTAAATTTTCTTTCATGCTCAAACAGCTTTTACATAATTGTGACAATGAGTGTAAGAGATAATTCCAAGTATGTAGTAATTTTGAAATTATGTTTTGCTGAACATGTTCCCACGTAATATAACTTAATTTTCATAGATATTAAAGTTCTCCTTCCTCTTTCCCCTTTCATTATGGGAAGAAGAAACAGAATGAACAAAACCAAGTAGGTGCACTTTACACAGGATACCTAGCCCTGAAATAACAAAAACAAATTGTGTTATTTATTTTTATTTGAGTTAATTGATAAATAAATATCAGAGGACTGTTGTGAAACCACTGGCAATATAATAAACTTTATAGAATTTATTTTAACTTTACTTACTGTATTTCTTGGAATGGGAATATATACATTATTCACCAATAAATGCTCAATGCTTTTAATTTACAATTACTCTATTTGAATAAACCTGACAATCATTCCAATTAAATGGGGGAGTGGGGTTACAAAAATTATCTTTCCTTTGCCCTTACAATTCAAAATATATTCAAGATAACATTTGTACAGCAGCCAAAACAATTGAAAAATGTCATAAAGTTTAACAAAATGGTCACATTCTAAGTTTAATTACTGACATTAAAAAAAAAAAAAAAAAAGCCAGGCAGACTAGCAATGGGTAAAGCTTTCTATTCTGGGCACTAAAAGCTTTGCCCCTGATGATTATTTTATTTCATCAGTTCAAACAAAGACAATTGCTCCAACTTAAAAGTAAGTTTAAATGGACTTCTGGCATTTAATATTGGTGACACTTGCTAAGATTTAAAAACTGCAACAATAAGAATCAGAAAATGACCCAAATTAAAAAAAAAAAAAAAAATCCTAAAGGACTTACTACACAGTGGAATCTGATACTCAACATAAATAGTGTTTTTGAATTAGGCAATTTTGTTCCCCCATGAATACAGCACCTCATTTAAATATCTGGTGATTTTTTTCCCCACACAAACACAGCACCTCATTTAAATATCTGGTAAACTACTTTGCATACACAATAAGTGTTCAGAGAACAAGTTCTGAGAATTATGTGATTCAGTTAAGATAACTTTGCAAGACAAATTCCAGGCATAATCATGATTAGGAACACAGTCTGGTGATTCCCACATTCTAAAAGGATGCTCACGTGTAGATATGGGCACCATCTTCTTAAGATGTGGTACTTTATTTCCACAACCAAAACACAGTAGCTAGATGTCGAAACAGACTCCTGCTTTACAAATGATTCCATTAAATGCACTGTAAAAACTAAAAGAAATTTCCAAAAACATCAAGAAGTGAGGTTATTTTAGCTCCTTTACTCCTGGTAATTCTGTTAAAAAGATACTAAATGAATTACAATTTTAACTTGTAAAGTTTTGATGTAAAAATTAATTTATTTGATAGCTAGGAAAGTTTAATTTCTATCTAAACTAAGAAAACAATTCATTTTGGTGAGTTTTCACAAGCTATACTCTTGACCTGAAGAATCATTTTTTTTATGTCGAGGAGATGGAGTGGTTTTTGTAGGGGATGGGGATGCAGTACCAGGTGAGTCAGTACCTCCATCAGAAGTGCTTGGTGATGATGCCAGAAGAGGAACTTTCTTTCTTCCCAAGAATCCTCCCCCTTCAAATCCTTTCTTCCTTAACTCAACTCTATTTTCATTTTCATCTTCTGAGGACCTTTTCTTCGATTCTGTACAACCTTCAGCTATTTTATGAGCTTCCAATCCACTATCTGTTTCTTTTAAACTATTTATTTCTGTTCCAGGAGACTTTCTCTCAGATACATTACATTCCCCTGTTGCCCGCTTCATTTCAGCATGTACTGGACCCAAGTTACCATTTTCAGGGACAGCTCTTTCTACATTTCTGTTCAAATTGATAGTCTGAAAGTCCCTGTAACTATGAAAGCTCTCAGTCCTCCTTGCCCTTGCTAACAAAGGACTCTCCCTGTAAGGCCTCATGGAACCATATGTCGCTGCTTCATGGATGGTCTCATGGTGCTGAAGCTGAAGGCTGAAAGAGAATTTTTTAAAATTGTAGTTCAGTTCTCTTTCTGGAATTTTTCAGGAGTATATCTCATCAATTAAAGTACCAATAGAAATACATTATATATGTATGAAGTAGGAGCTCTGGTAGTGCAGTGCCTAAGGCACTTGACTGCTAACCAGAAGGTGGGTGGTTCAAACCCACCAGCCACTACTCAGAAGGAAAGTTGGACAATCTACTTCTGTAATGATACCACCTCGGAAACCCAAGGAGGGGTTGCTATGAGTCAGGTCTGACTCGACGGTAAATAACAATATGTATAAAGTGTGTTGTATCCATATTTCTATAAATGAAAATGTACTTATTAAATACTCTGTATTATATATCATTTTATATATCTATAGCATACATTAAACTGTTGTTGTTGTTATGTGCCGTCGAGTTGGCCCCAACTCATAGCGACCCCTCCTTGGGTTTCCGAGGCAGTATCACTACAGCAGTAGGATTGCCCAACCTTAACTACCAATGCAGAAAATATTATATACATATTTACAGTTAAGATGGATTTCTGAATAGCTGAAAATCTGGAGAGAATGTCTGAAACCAGTATGGAACCAATGAGTCAGTGTTTCTGTTGATAGGGTAACTCAAAAAGACATGTAAGTCATTTTATTAAAAGTATGTAATGCCTAAATGTAAGATTAGGCAAGATAGTACAGTCATTTTGATCAATATGTCCTTGAGGCAATAGGAACAAAAGCTTTACATACTACCCAAGGTGATATGTGTTTTCCTAATTTCCTGAGTGAATTTTTGATTACATAATAGGCATTCAAACTAGCAGCAATTTGTAAGTATGTTAAAAGGCAAAAAATGTTTTTATTTGAAAAGAACCACAAATATGCATGTAGATAAGAAATCTAGCAAAATTTTAAAAACTGATTCTCAAAATAAATGAATTAAAAATTTACCTAAAAAATATGGCTTTCAAGGAAAATTAAGCATTTACAATATATTTCTGCCAAATTTTCCAAAAGCACCCAATTAATCAACTTATGATGTAGTACCCCCTACTCTTCGACTTACCTAGAATTTGATTCCCGCAGACGGCTATGCTGAACCACAGAAGTTGCTGGACTGATGTTAGGAGTAGCACAGCGAGATGTACTCAGATCACACTGATCCAATAATTTAAGTAACTCTTCCTCAGTTGGACCACCTACATCTTGGGAAAACAAATACACATTAACTCATTTATGTCAAAAGTTTATCCTTTGACAAGCATCTTTACAAGTGGCAACCTACCCTTATCTTCACTTTTGTTAACCATATCCATAGCAGTGGTCAGATCCCACATTTGAATGCTGCCATTTGTATGGCCTGTGAACAGATAGCGTCTTGGCCTTGAGCCCATCCTACTGGATCCCTCACATTCTCTCACTGTAAATGAGGATATTGTAGTACAGTCAACAGCTTGGATCTCACATATTCTGTAAAAGACATTATACTGTTGTAAACCATGGAGAAAAAATAACACTTTATATTTCATATTTTTTACTATTTATTTGCAAAGTTACAGTTCAATACCACACATACATAAATCTGAGATTTAAGGAGATCAAAGCAAGTAAATGGCAATAAAAACTCAAGCCCTGTTTCTCTGAGTCTAGTTAAAAGGCTCTTACAAAACTATTATTATTAAATAACTGAAACAAAGTACCTTATTTAAGTCAACCTTGAAAAAAAAGAGAGCTTTGATGGGAATGAGCAATTATTTGACAAGCAGTTTGACACCAAAAAGGAAGGCAGAAACCAACCAAATAGGCATCATGCTAGAAGAGTTCTTAAGAAATCATTTAAAATGTACATGTAAATTTTAAAAATCTGAAACTAGGAAGAAAAAACACAAACATCATTGTATACAGATGGCCTAAATATATCCTCCATTAGGAAAATGCTCTCAACTTTTCAAAGCTTTTTATATCTATTTCATTTCACTTTAATAAAAGATCAAAGAACGTGAGAGAAAGGACAGTTATTATTTATTTTAGACAAATGAGGAAAGCAAAGCATAATGTTGGCAAAATTTCCCCAAGTGATATAAGGATTGCTATAACTACACTTGATTGCATTATTTATCCCTACTTCAAAACAGAGTTGAAGAGGCTTATCAAAAAAAAAAAAAA